CAATTAGACTCGCTATTACTATATAATATAATAAGTAGTTAGATGTATTATTATATCATATAAATATTTTATACTACATATATGTATATTTATATTATATATACAAATTTGAATTCAAAATAGATAGTTGATTTACCGTTTTCGATTCATGAATTCAAAAACAAAAATTTTGATTTTCTTTCTGCTTTTCGTTTTCTTCGATTTCGAAATTCCGAATTGAAATCGAAATTGGTCAGTAAATCAAATATTTTCGAAATTGCACACTCCCAAATTCGTCATATAACTCATACATAATCATTTGTTAAGGGCTAAATTGGTTAAATCTCATTTGTAGTTAAATAAATAAGCTGATCTATATTTATTTTTATTCGTTAAAAAGTAGGATATGATCTAAATTATATTTATTTTTCTCCTAAAAAGTGGAATCTGACCTAATTTATATTCATTGTTGCCATTACAAAAGTGGGATTTGATCTTTTTTTATATTAAAAATAACTACATGTAAATCACGTAATGATTTCAGGCTAAAAAGTAATCAAAAACTTGTGTTAAGGCTAATTTTTATTAATTTAATTTTGTTAGAAATATTAGGAATGCAATTTTTTGGAGTTTTTCGTAAAAAAATGTATCGTAGGGATTTGATATATGTGAGATAAAAAGATGATCGGAAAATATTTTCACGGAAAACGTAGAGATTTTTTTGATAGAAAAACTCATACCAAACAAGGCTTAAGTTGACATTTTAAGAGTGAGAAACAAAAAATTTTATTTGATGAAATGTGAGGGATGTCCAAATTCAAACCTTTTCATCATCAATTCATACATTTCATACCTTTTTTTTTAATTATTTTTAGAAAGAGCAAATGGATAGATTAGCTGTTTTTTAGGGTGTTTTTGAAAAATTTTACTGTACTAGAGTTTTTAAAATATATTTTGAGATATTTTTAGAAAATATTTTGAAATATTTAAGAGTAGTAGAATTTTTAAAATATATTTTAGGATTTTTTTAAACATTAAAAAATTTTTAGACTACTTTTTAGAGTACCTTTTAGAATATATTTTAAAAATTTTTATCGTATGTAAAAAACTAATTTTTGAAAAACTAAAGGATCCAAACAAAGCCACGTTTGAATGAACATTTTTTCTACTTAAAGAAGTGTTCCACGTTTTTTCTACTCAGAGAAGTGTTCTTCAAACGCAGAGTTTTTAAACTTATTGCTCTTTTCTTCTACTTAGAGAAATGTTCTTCAAACGCAGAGGTTTTAGACTTACTGCTCTTTTCTTTTGCTCAGAGAAGTGTTCCGCTTTTCTTCTACTTAGAGAAGTGTTCTTCAAACGCAGAGTTTTTAGACCTACTGCTCTTTTCTTCTACTTAGAGAAGTGTTCCACGTTTGAATGAACATTTCTTACTTCTGCAGCGACGGTGCCATGCGGGTGAGGGAAAATGACCGCTCTTGAGTTATTCACGGCCAGATTTTGGCCAAAAAAAAATATGCAGTCCAAATCACTAGTTGTACATTAATTTTTATAACGTGTGTGGGACTCGCAAAATTTTGTACTAAAATTACACGTTATGCAAACAAAATTACGTTGTGTGTAACCAAAGTTATACGCCGTTGACAATGACCAAAACCGCCAGAAACGGTTGCACCTGCAACCTTCCTGCCTCTTGTCCGTGGCAGGTCCTCCTAAAGGGCCCATAGTTTCCTTAATCAAATTCATAATGCAAAAGTGACGAGAATGATAGGCAGTGACAACCAAGACCTTGGAGGTAGGGGTCAAACTCCGATAATATAAAATCAATAAATGTGTCAATATTCAAAATTTCATTTTTTCTAATGTTAAATATGCTTAAAATTTACAGTCAAAATTACCTTTGAATTAACATACGTGTTTAACTTTTGGTAGATCTAACACACCTGTGAAGGGTAATGATTATGAATTTTCAATTATTTAGGGGGCAATATATGATAGGAAAGAGAATTCTAAAAATTTTAGGGAGAAGCAAATAAGGAACAACTTTGAGAATTTCTGAACTTTCTAAGTTTTAAACATAATTTTCTCAAAATTAATGGGGTGTAAAGCAATGTATGGTAAGTAAGAGAATTCTAAAAATTTTAGAAAGAAACAAGTGAGAAACGACTTAAAAAATTTCTAAACTTTGGTGACCAAAAGGTCCTAGCCAGCCAGGGTTCGAGTCCTGCATGCAAATGCTGGGTGTGGAGTGGGGCTTTCTCTCCCGAGTCACAGGAAATTAGTCGAGTCATTAGGTATTATCAGTCCGAAAATCCGGACACTCCTGTGTAGAAAAAAAAAAAAAAAAAAACCCACGCCCACTTAACTGCACGTGACTCTACCGCTAATGACAAAGCGCATCCAGTCGTTCGTTCGTTGATTGATGCGTACTTTGCCAGTTACACTCGCCTTTGGGAAAACTATGAACCACCGCCCCTGAACAAGGAATGCGCCAACGCAGAACTAGTATGCTCAATGCTGTACACGAAAACATGATAATGTCTTGGCAATTTACTTTCATTCAACCACATATAACAACCAGTCCTGACTCCCCTCACTTGTAAAAGAAACAGAGAGACTATAATATCAACAGCTGGCCGTGCATTATTTTCCTAGTTAGTCAGTCTCTGTAAATGATAAAGAGGTTTTACAGTTTAATTCTACAGTCGCTTGCTTTCTGTACATTGTTAACAGAGAATGTTTTGACAAGGTATCAGCACACAGCGAAACCAGCAGAAAAGGGACCAATCAGCTCTGAGTAAACTATTATTCAGAATCAATGAATTTACAAAAAATACATACTTCACCTGCTGCAGGCCTAAATCAAATCTACCCGCATCGCAAAACAAATCATTTCAACAACATTTGAACTACCAAGCACTGAGTACGTTATTTTTTGGTACTAAAAGACAATGCACAAATTTGTGCTATAACACATGATCACATAATTGGACAATGATCACCAAATCCCTTCTTTCGCCATCCTGAGAAAGTTACAGAGAGTGACCATGTTGGGAAGCTCAAAATCACCGGCCTTCTTCTTCCTTATTCTGGTCATTTTCAATGTCTCTGTTCCCTTTGATTGCGTCACTGTTACTGACACCAAGTTGTAGAACTGTTGAAAGGGAATTTTGGGGCACAACATGAGACTCATAACTAAATACAGAAGCCGGTTAATGACAACTGCTGCTCTTTTCTTTTAGGAAAAGAGGGAAATCATTTTTTGGCAGGGTAACACCTTTAATGACAAGTTATTGTCATCAACGACTTATCAATATCCAAGGGGAAATAATGACTCTTTGATGCTGAGTGCAAATAGTGAGTCTTACATCTTCAAGAATCAAATAGGCAAATATACCTCACAAACACCATGCAGCAACAACCGGCGGAAAGGATCTTGAACATTTAACTCAAGAACACCACCATCTCCAGTCTCCTTCACAAAGTCCCGGATGCACTCTTAAGAGGATGAGTAAATTAACACAAGAAGCATAGACAACATAAAGCATGCAAATAATACAAGATCATCACGACAATAGAGTAGATGTAGTGTAATAGATGATAAGAAGAGGAAGTAATTATACTCTGTCTTGTCGATCTTAAAGTCACCTCATATCCACTAATTATCAATTCTGGAAGAAAGCTACGACGGAAAGCTTCCCTAGTTCTACAATCAACTCTATGCCATGCAGTAAGTACAGCAACCTGGTCTGCATCACCACGACTTTTCTGTTTCATTCCCGAACCTTTGAGGGCTTCTATCATCATCGTCTACCATAAGGACAGAAAAATTTAAAAGAATCAGGCAATATTGCCATATCACAGGCCAAATTCAAAAGGTACAGGAGAATAATACCTAAACAAATAATGAAGTGTCCATATTTTTTTGCTGTCAGTGTGTGTGTGAGAGAGAGAGAGAGAGAGCACAAACAAACAAAATCTGACACTAGTAAACCTTAGTATTTAGTAGATTGCTAACATTTGGTATCAGGCAATATATCCTCCTCCCATTAAATTCCTCAACAGCCATACTTTCCTACACCACCAACTCTCAATTCCAGCAAGCCATATTAAAGAAGATATACCAGCCAACACGCACGCACGCACGCACACAAAAATAACAGATACAACATGAAAAATAGTAAGCAAATAAAGAAAAATAATGAAGAAGACAATGGCATATTTAATTCAATAAGTCACGAAAATGTTAGAGAAAACATATCATCCAACACAGAGAGGTGAACCAAGGGCTAAAGGCATCCATGGTCTTTAAAGTTCATGGCTCACCCCTACCTTGTTTACTGATCCCTCAACAAACACATGTACTAATTTTTGTTTATCCATGCAAGAGAACTTAATGAATGTAATCTTTATGTAAGATTTAAAGTTAACAGGAGAGAGCGTAAGTTGACTTCAACAGTGAAAGGACCAGTGTAATGCAACCCAAATATCATGCAAAAATAGTTCTAGAGATAATGTTCGTAATCACGTGGTAACGAGAAGAATACCTCTTTATCCATATCCACGGTTCTAAATTTGTCCTATTCTCCTATATTTGTGATGCTAAAAGGGGACAGTGGCATACCTCTTCTATTTCTTACTGTCCATATATTCATGTGTTCATGTTCAATGTGAAGAAAAAGGGAAAAGCAGAGAAAGAGAGAGCGAGAGAGAGAACCTGATATGCAACAAAATCGCATTTCCCAAGCTTTTTGCTCCAGTACGGTGCCAAGGCACAATGTGCACTCCCACATACAGGATCCTGAAATTTGGAAAGCAAGTCATCTGACAGGATCCCGACCATTTAAAAGTCCATAAAATGGTTTTTTTTTCTTTTTTTGGTTCATCAGGTATATGGAATCATGTGATTAATTCATCTACAAGAATATTTCAGAAGGTTGAAACAAATAACCTCATTGATCCCATATTTCGGGCAGAAGAAGCGACTGTAGAAATCAAATCCAGATTCAGGGGGTGCAGCCGTGATGCAGGAAGCTGAGAGCATAGTGCTGGGGGGGCAGACCCAAAAGGATGGTTCTGCAGCCCACATGAAAGCTGCAGTTGATATCTATGAGAGGCATGGTGTTGTTCGCCCCAACCGAGCCACCAGTATTGTCAGGGATGGCGGTGTTACCATCTCTGAGGCACAAGTATGTGGCCGCCGTATCAACTCGTGACAAAGACCGAGAATTCTCCCGATTCGCCTTTTGACTCAACTGCAGTTACAATTGGAGAAGCAGCGGCTCATTTAGCTGGGGCCAAATTGATGGACTAGGGAGATGCAGCAGCTATCCAGGCTGCAAAAATTAGAGCCACTGGTCGAGGAAGCGTAGTGCATGGCGGAATTAGAGCAAAAGCTCAATCAGCAGTGGCACATAATGCCTATAATCAAGCTTAGTGATGTTCTGGCTGTAATTTAGCATCCGCTCTTACATTCTGACTTCAATGTAAATTAAGTCGAGTTTTTGCGTTTAAATGCTTTCTGCAGATGTCATATACATTGATTATCTTATATATAGCGTGCAACTAGTAAGTTCATCGATGACAAACCAGTGACAAGGGAGGCTGCTGAAGGGGTGATTGGTGCAGAAACCAGGGACAGGCCCGACATGACCACACATCCAGGGGGTGTTGCAGCATCAGCGGTAGCTGCAGCCGGGGTTAATAAGGATGTATAGTGTATCCAGACTTGGAACATCAAATGCTCCGTTCCATGTATGGCTGGTTGTGTTATATAGATGCCGTTTAGTAATTAGGACCTTGAAAGGATTAAAATAAAAATGTGTCTATTTCGTACGTGTAGTTTTTATGTTATGCCATGGGGTTCCAATCTTTTACTGGTTTGCTTGGTCATAATTCTGAACCTAATGCAACTGCTATTGCATATGACATGAGCCAAAGTAGCAGTAATATGTTTGGGAGTGAATGAAGTAGTTCGTCTTAGTAATAAACATCTCTAAAGACTCTAATTAACAGTCCAAATTTGTTCCAACATTCACAAACTTAATCCTGTGGATCCTCTTCATTTATCACAACTTGCATCCTTAAAATAGGTATCTGCGCCGCCACCATTGATCGACTTTCTACCTAGAATTTATACGACTATAGCAGAAGTCATAGAACCAACTTCATATATGAATGTTCGACTCTTCATTCATTCTTTCTTTTCTTTTGGGCCGTCCTTTTCCCGGTTTTTGTATTTTATTTTTGATGATGGAAAAGCAAGGTTTCCTTGTAACTCCACGTACGGAAAGTGTGAGGAAGTCTTACAAAAGTGCCACCGTTATTAAATATTCAAGATTCTGCAGGAGAGGATGAATTGTCAGTCAGAAATTGGAGCATCATATGCAGCAGCGGTTTCCTTTGGGATGTCTGTATCTATTTGCATACAGCAGCCACAAATTATTACTACTATGTATCATAAAAATGTACAGATATTGCCGCTCCCAGCCAATATTTCAAATCCTTATCTCACGTGGGATACTACGATCGATTCACGTACAAATAAAATAATTAGTTTGACCATTGAGCTTGAACTCAAGTACCCCCCTCTCCCTTCCCTTAACAACCCCTCCTCCCAAAAAAAACAAAAAAAAAACCAGCATTAACTCGAGTCTTTTAGGTATGCAAAGATTCTGAATGTGCTATCTCCGTATATCTTTAATCCCGATCCCGCATTTGTATATTTGTATTTGTGCATGCATGCCGTCGATCGATTGTTGGGCAAGCGTAAGCTTCAATGAAGACACCATTAATTAATTCCATGATGCATGCTCCTTCACTCCTAATGCTTAAACAAGTCACAGTTTCTGATATATGGCGGCAGGGGATAATGAATTTTGGTAGGACTCTTTATAAGTGGAGATGATAGGGTTAATTGTTTGAATGAAACTTTCATATATTGTCTTTGTAGATGGTAGCCGATTCTACGTCTATAAAATTCGAGTTTTATGCATATGTATAATTATGACTAGGTTTTTTAGATAATGCAAATCCCCGACTTTATTTTCTTGTGTTCTAATGGACCTAACCAAACAAAAACAAAGAAAGGAGAGAAAATGTGAGAAACAGTTCTTGCAATCTGCACTTCCTAATTTCAGTACGGTACTGACGACAGAGATAGGTGGATTCATGATATGCTCCCCACCATGTGATGTATGATCCATGATGTTGCCAACTCTAAACTTAAGGCGAGTTACGTTACACCGTATATATCGCCAGCCTACCTCCCTTTAAGCTTGAAAAAATATCTCAATATATAGAATAAATCTTATATACATTGACAGTGTATACATTCTAATAGTTACATCCATGGCATATGTGCAAATTTAACTTTTACATAGTTTTCATTTATTCAAACCTGATAGTATATAGATTATCAGTGCAGAAAAAATTTATTTCGATATATATATATATTCTAACATTGTCATTGTCAATGCGAAAGATTATTCTTGTCCAACGTAAATATGGTAGCAGTGCTAATTGATTTCTCTCTATTTGCTTTGTTTACTCCACGACTCAGTTTTGCATGGAATAACTGTTATGCACTACATTCAAAGTAGTGATGGGAATTGAAAATAGTTTCTAGACATTAAAAACGAGATATGATGCATGCATGTCATCCCTCTTACCGTTTGTCATGATCCCAATTCACCCGCCCGTGAAAGATAAGGCTAATATGCATTTATTTTTGTAATCCGGGCATAGCATGTCCGATCCATGGCTGCTTTGCAGTCAAGAATATCCTTTCTGAATTTTCACGTAGCTGTGAAAGTCGTAGGATCTATTGATTATCACACAGACAGAAGATATCATCATGGCCAAAGTCCTAAATTGTAGTAGTATTTGAGCAGTATTTTGAGTAGACTAGAACGGAATACCAGACCGCAATCATTTTGCGCGACGGCATCGTATATTAGTGAAGCAGGCTGGCTTTAGACGAGTGAAGAAGAAGCGGACCGAGCACCAAGATCAGTAAGGGACTAGTACATACTGATACTAGCTCTACACATTTTCGGTTTCAAATTGCTCCACTCCAGCGGTGGATTTGATGGATGATTATCATCGTAAGACATGAAATTCTTGTTCTTCTTCTGAATTTTTTTTTTAAAGTTCATTTCTATCCATCCTCTATCTATCCGGCCCCCTCCCTTTTTTTTTTTATGTTTTCTCTTTTTCTTTTGACCTTTTAGATATATATATATATATATATATATATATATTTTTTTTTAATAAATATGATGTATATAACATAAATATTGAAATGCATCCATTAATTGAGAACAAGGTCCACAACCCACCTGCAGCTGCTATTGCATTTTGCTAATGCCGCTGAGTAGTCGCCTTTTAAGTCCCAAGAGGCCAGGAACAAGCTACAAAATCTTCACCAACTGCAATGACCCCTAAGCCCCACCCTCCCGCTTTCACTCCTTCGCCTGTTGCATTTTGTTGGATTTGTTTTGCCCTGTACTAATTAGATATTTACAGCTACCATATGTCGTCATGATATGTATGGTAATGGAGGAATACGGGACAATAAATAAATCCATCTTTTGTTACCAATAATACAGCATCAATAGTATTTAAAAACTAGTACTTGAAAGTTTGAAGTTTTGATGTACACATCCCTCTAAATCCAAGATACTTGAACAATGATATACAGACACGAACGCATATTTTGTTAATGTAAGGGTTGTACAAGTGGGAAATTTTTTATGGTCATTTTTTTTTTTGTAAAAAATTAATACGTTTTCGTGGACATATTTTTTAATTATTTTTTTATTTCATATACATCAAATCATTATGAGATATAGAAATCAAATCGTTACGGTATATATTTCTATAGAAACTTCTAAAAATAATAATCCAAACGGAGTTTAAATTTGCAAGTTCCTTCCTCTTATGATCAATGAGATTCTCTCACTTCACAAGTCTCTGTATACATAAATTTGGGTTGGCCAGCCAGCCTCTAGCTTCTAAGTGCCAAACTCTTGTCTGAATAGTGAACAGTGAACGCACTGCATCTGTCTATCCTCCCCAATTCCACCTCTCCAACTCAAAAAACTCATCATATCATACCAATAATCATATTCCCTCCGTCCCTCCCTTCTCCCTGAGTCCAAAGTGGAGAGTGTAAATTAAGCAAGAAGATTATAGGGCCAGAAAAAATGCCAAGCAATCTGGGAAGAAACATAAATCTTTGCTTCACAAATATCACGGCACCCTCATCTCCCCAATCCTCGATCCAAGCTGAGCACAGCCGTTCCCTATCCAGCTCCGCAGCATCAGTCCTCATCAAGAACTTCAACTCTCTCTACGATTTCGCTTTTGACTGCACCACCTATTCCAAGTCCTTTCCGCACCCCACGTCCGCCACCACCACCTCCGACAACGACCTCTCCTCCTCCGAATCCTACACCACCTCCTCCACCCCGGACTTCTCCACCATCTTCGCATCCCAACGCTTTTTCTGCTCCTCTCCTGGCCGTTCTAACTCCATCATAGACTCCTCATCGTCCCTATCGTCAACCTCCTCGTCGTCTCCGGGCATCCCGACCGAACCCGACAGCGTCGTGGGAGGAAGCATTGCTGTTGCGACCTATTCGCCAGACCCTTTCATGGACTTTCGACGGTCCATGCAAGAAATGGTGGAGGCCCATGACCTGATCGACGTTGCAGCCAATTGGGACTACTTGCACGAGCTTCTCACCTGCTATCTGTCTCTCAATCCCAAGAGAACCCACAAATTCATCGTCGGAGCTTTTGCCGATCTTCTTGTCAGTCTCATTACTTCATCATCACCAGATGATGAGCGCTGCCGCTGTACGAAATCAAAATTCTCCGATGATGGTCGTAAGATGTCAGGTATGGGGTGGGCGGATGTGAAATTTTCGCGGGCCCCTAGCCATTAATTAAGATCACGTCATTGTTTTAGGGAGGAAAGGCGTTCAAGGTAATAAGGTGGTGAATGGATAGCAATGAGAGTCGAATCTCTGCATCTTTTTGAGGAAAGAAAAGAATACGAGTGGCTGCAGAATCAATGTGATTAATGTAGAAAATTATGGAAATCTGAAAAGAAATTGATGTAACGTTGACAGTTCATTGTTATGCATGCATCTGGTCCCCTATTGTCCTCAATTATATCGATACATAAATAAATTTAATGGTATCATTAAGACCGTTATATTTCTGGCACTTCTTGTTTCTTGGTTTTTAAGTTACTTACATGCTTCTAATTTTCTAAATATGCTAAGCCAGCCTAGCACGGCTGCACGACACAGAAGCAGAAGCAGGAGACGAAGCCTTGGTCTTTGCTTCTGGTGGCAGACTCCCGGAAAAGTGTATCTACTTTTTCAGAGATTTTTTTTTTTTTTTGGGGGTTAATTTAGATTCCAGCGTGCAGGACACTAATGGAATGAAGACAAGACCAGATTTGTACTCTGATGGGATATCCAAACCATCCACCTTTCCAATTTCTAAAAGCTGCCCCTGTCTTTAATAGAGTACTTTCATTCAGTCACCGTGGCGTTCTTCCTATTGAACTTCTAACCCCGACCCTAATCGAAAGAAGATGACAGACAAAAAGGGTCCTTCTTACGACGTAGTTGGCCTTCACTCATCAAGGAGGCCATTAGGCTTGGGCAGAAGCTAAGGTAGTTGGCCTTTCGGGCGCCCACTGAACTCGCTTGGGGAGAAAGATAATTTGCTACAATCTGTATGTAATGATGCATCTGTTGACAAACATTGGTCATGCAAGTTTACCTTCTTCTACCATAAGGAAAGAAAACCAAATGGCAAAAGAACTTCATAACATTTTGTTAGCTTTGGCAATGTTTGTATTGTACTCACTCACTGTATACGAACATTGGAAGCTGTAATTCGGTCGTCTCACTTCATTTTGCCACCTTTTCTCTAGTTTGGAGAAGGATTGTATATTAGTGAGATGACGCTGGAGTTTAATTTAACATATAGTATTCCATAATAACTATCCTCAGATCCGTTTTAAGTGGCGGAAATCATGCGATTGTCGAGGACTATCAGTAAATTTTTTTTTTTTTAAAGTGTGTGTGTGTGTGTGTGTTTTTTTTTGGCCTGCTTAATTAGGAGAAATGAAACCTACTTTTTAGCCAGCAGGGTTTCAATTTTTGAACCCCTCGCCCCTTCCCCCCTCCAGATAGAGCTGTTAAACGAATCGAGCTGTTCGTTAGTTCGGTTCATTTCGGTTGGTTCGTGTTCATGAAAGGCTCGTTCGAAATTTTAAACGAACCGAGTTTGAACGAATTTTTTTATTCGATTAATAATCGAGCGAACACGAGCATGATCGCGAGTTTTAACGAACGTTCGCGAGCATACTAAACGAACATTCGCGAACACGAGTATGTTCGCGAGTTTTAACGAACGTTCGTGAACATAGACATAATTATCATTTGACAAATTTTAGGGTTAATTTTATGGCTGGACTTTTATATTTGGAGGGCAAATTTCTTTGTTTTATTTGTTGTTTTTATGTTAATGTTAGTTATATAGTTAATGAATAATAGAATTTAGTCACTTAGTACTTTAATTATTTTTGAGAATGATTAATAATTTGCATGGCATATTTAAAGCATAAAATAATTTGGATTCGAGCATTTCAAACATATTCGCGAACGGCTCGTTTATGTTAAACTAGCCGAACACGAACTCGAACTCGAACACAAATTTTACTTAACAAACCGAACACGAACACAGGTTTGGAGTTCGAAAATTAACGAACGAACACGAACGTTGTTCGAACTGTTTAATGAACAGAGCTCAAACATGAGATACTCGGTTCGATTCAGTTCGTTTACAGCTCTACCTCCAGAGAATGATTAAAAGAGTGTCAAGTTCCAAGAATGATTTAAGAACATGAGCCACTAGCTAGTTAGTTTGAATGGAATAACATGATTACTGAAGGGATATAATCAAGAAAAGTAGTAGTGCTAAGTAAATATAATTATTTTAACTAGATTTAACTCACACTTCTTGATCTGTACGAACATGAAAATAGGTCTTATCTTTTATGTAATGGAGGGAAAAGAAAACGCGTTGACCAACTAGCACCGACTCCGAAACTGGCTTCAGGTTTAAGCATTAGGAGTCCGTGGAAACCAGCGGGCTAAGTGATCTCTGCAGAGTGCAAACGACAATTAAAATTCTTAAAATTTCATTAACTGTTGTTACTGTTCCAATCAAAGAGTATAAAACAATGTGAAGGCATCGACAAACTGGTGGATGGTTGATAAAAGTTGATGCCACGGGATTATCTGTCTTATCCTGTACAAACTACACCGAGCCACGATAAACCGTTTTAATCTGTTTTTTTTGCTCAGTTTAAAACTAAGCAGTATAGACAACAAATTGGATAGGAGTTGATGAAGCCAAAATTTTTACAGTTTATTATGCCCACCACATAGCCGAGAGGGAATCTCATGTTTTGTTTTGCCTCTTGTTATTTAATTATCCGTTCTTGACAATCTCTACCTAATCCGTGAATATTAATTTTATCGACAATCTCTGCTTAATTAGGATTCTGTTCTGCTATTTTTTTTTTTTAATGAAAAGATAACTCTCATTCATCGCCACCAATAGAAATATTTAATCATCCCACCAAACGAGTTTAGACTTCAAACTAATCCCAAAATGCGCAAGAACATGTGCAGCATTCCCTGTCCTGTGTACATGTACAATCCTGCATTTTTTTTTTCTTAATGTTGAATGCAATAGTAATTGAGCTTGTTCCACTCAAGTATCAATGTATGAATAATCAGGCTCATCATGTTTTGTACCAGCTCATAAGAATCACCTTCCAAGTCATACATCCCCATATCAGAAGTCCACAATTGTTGTCAAAATCTCAGCATCATCAACATTGTTAAACACTCTGATGAGGCAATCGATACTTCTTTTTTATCATCACACAATATTACCCTAACTTCTACCTTCTCTCTCTTTTTTTTTTTTCAAGTCCATTCGATGCTAAATTTTACCTTTCCGTGACTTCATCCACGTCCTAATCATTCTATCCTGTGTTTGTTTGAACACTAGCAGTCTCTTTGTGTAGTTAAGTGAATTTCAAGAAATAAGAACGAGTGAAATCTGCAACCTCTTCTGCTTTCATCACTTTATTCTCAAATATCAACTCGTCACATTATTCTGCTCTTTCATCTTTACTACGGTCCATCGTAAACTGCCATGTGATGTATGTATTTGGCGTTCTTTTATGCAAATAAATAATTACTTTCTGTTGACTCGTATCTTATTTTTAGGTGTTTATTTATGTAGTGATGATTAACAACATATCCGTTTGTTTTACATGAGATGCAATGGAGGACAAAGCGTATTCTTCTGTATCACTAATGAACACCGGTGTTTGGACCATTCATTTTCTCAACTCTGTTGGTCGAACTGCTCTGGATTTATTACCCAACGACATTCATTCTTTAATTAATTTGGATCTTACATATAGCGAAGGAAAATATGAATTTTTTAGTTAATCAATATTTTTTCTTGCCAAAAAAAAAAGTAAAAGTATCTATTGTTTTTTTTTTTTAAGTCGACATAAGGGTGTCCTGGCCTTTGACCCAACTAATCTCCTGTGGCTCGGGAGAAGGCGCCCCAACCCACTCCAAACGTATTAACAGCGTGACTCGAATTCTGGTGGATATGCCTAAAGAGAAACAATTACACCGGTTGAGCTACCCGTTGGAGGCAGTAAAAGTATCTATTGTGGTTTGTGACTTTTATGCAAAAGGTGGCATAGGCACAGTTAAGGTTACCAAGTAAGGAACTTAAACCCACTCAAATGTTAATGACCTTTTATAGTTTTATGTAACATCTTGGACTTCGAAGATCTTAAACATAAATTCACGAGCGCTTCTATAATAGACAAAGAATTTAAGCCGAAAGTGTTGTGTAAACATCCATAATTAGAAAAATGATTTCTACAAAGACGCTTTGTTACTTCCAGAAAAAGGAAAATGCAAAGTAATCTTGCTGGTTTAGAAGCAGTAGACAAAAGGGTCATCGAATTATAAGGTAAATTTTCTATAAAGTAACGGCAATACAGGTCCTTGTGAATTACCAATAAAGGCAAATAACAAAGCTGTAATAAAGAAATGGACGACAAAAGCAAAAGATGGACGTGAAAAGATCAAATTTTGAGTCGATTCTTCACTGCCTTAACCTTAAGTAGAATTTGATGCGACCCTACTTTTGAATCTTAAAATGGATTAGATTTGGGCTACACACCCTTTTGCCGGCTCTGGTGAAGGCCTAGGTCCATTCTCAGTATCAAGCTTTGCCATTTATTTTGCCCATGGCCGTCGACGTTGGGTTTTTAATTTGCGGACTTTTGTTTGGATTATAAGTTATTTGAGATATTTTTATTGTAGCACTTTTTATAATGTGATGTATGTGAGATAAAAAGGTAATTGGGAAGATAAAAAGATATATTGAAAATTGTAATAATGATGTAAGCAAATATATTTGAGAAACTGTCCAAACAAACCTGCAAGGATGTATTCCTTTCAACTTACGGCCGTTAACGAGTCTGGTTGCAAGATCAAAATTGTAATCCCGGCCAAAATATGTGAACCCTTAAAGAAATTATTATTACTGGTGATTCGTTGATTTGGTTTGTATGACTCTCTTTTTAAAAAAGAGAGAAGGTGAAGAGAGGAATGCTTACGGAATTTATCATCTGAGGAATGTTCCCGAATTTTATCATCATAGAGTTGTTTAAAATTGTTTAGTTGAACTCATAAATATAAGACAAAAAAAAAAGGGTGTGAATTTATGTATTAGACATTTGTTGATATACTTAAAGCACACGCAATTTATTATATGAATACACGCTAATAATTATTATTCTCTCTTATATTTATACATTTTTTAATATGTTAACCAATGGAGACCTATTTGGCAGACTCTTACATAATAAATATAAACAATAGCATAATAAACGTAAATATTAAGATAATGGATTTTTCTGATGGGTCTAGTTAATACATTTAAATTTCACCCGACTTGACACTTATATATATATATACTAATAATTATTACTATTTATTACATTTATGCACTTTCCCTAATGATTAATTCTGCCTTTTTTAAAATCTAACACCTGAATTACATTTTGATAAATGCTCATTGTGCACCCGCATATATACAAGACATGTTGTTGCTTTTGATGAAAATTGTGTGCAATAATCAACCTCATTGCAATTTTAAATTAAATCTATACAGGGTATCAGTTCATCCCATCCACAATTGATTGCTCGTAAATTGCGCAAAACTCAAGATTTGCATGATATACTAACTTGTAGTATAATATATTGTCACACCGGAGAGCGGCAAACAAGAAAAAGAAAAAAGATGACAACCCTTGCAGAAAATTTTGTTGCCATTCGTTTGGATTAGCTGTTTTTTAAGATGTTTTTGAAAAATTTTACTGTAACAGTGTATATGAAAAAATTTTACTCTAAGTTTTTTTAAAAATTTTAATATATTATATGAATAAAATATTTTTTTGAGTTATTATGTATTATTGTAATATTGTATTTAAAAAATTTATTTTTGAAAAAATATCAATCCAAAAGGAGTTTTTTTGTTTTAAGGTTGAATTTTTTTAAAAAAAAAACAAAAACCACATCATTAAGAAATACTAGAAGCTAGCGACGATTGTACCTAATCGCTGGATAACTATCGGGATAAGTATCAGTTAATCCTCTTTCTTCAAAGTACCTGACGACAAAACAAAAACCGTATCTTCTCCGATAATAATTTCTTAG